AATACCTACGCACAATAAACAATGCACATATAAAATACAACATAACCTGAAGCAAACTATTTCTATTTACATCTATATCGCACCGCGTTACTAATAACATTCTTGACGTATTGCTAACCAAAATAACACACAGAATAAACATATCTCAAATATTTTTACGCGCGACATGATGTTATTTGTTGTAATTTTCATAAAATACCTCTTGGAGCAATTTGCCGGCTGCTCCGGCCGCTTGCTGTCGCTAATCCAAACTTTAAAATTACAGTCATGAGCGGCATCATAATTCAAACGCGTGATTGGCTAATTTAATAGACTTATTTTTTTAAACCACAGTGCATGGTGTAAAAATACAAGGTGTAAAGTCCTGCGCACAATAGAGGGAATAAGGAAATTAAAAAGATAAATAAAGAATAAACAATTTTAACATATCAGAAATCGGATACATCGGAATACACGGTTTCTGATATACGGTTGAAATCGTTTATTCTTTAGTATTGTTCAAATTCACTCTCCTATTGCGCATTCGCGGGAGTACTTCACCTTATATTCTTTTCATCATGCGTCATACGACATCTGATATTTATATCTGTTCTACAATAGCGTCGCAAGTCGTAAGCCGTAAAAAAATTGGCCAAGAAGAAAAATCGATAATTCATATTACATTATGATTAATTTCATATAGTTTAAGATTTAAAATAATTAAGACTTAGATAATGATTTATTGTAGAAAGCCTATTTAAGAATTCATAGGATCAATCATAGTCGATTTATTCTTCTTACATTCAACTGTGATTGATCAATTTCTTAAGGCTTAATGACGCGATCCCATAACGCGGAACGTATGCGCAATGCGGAATTGGCGGAACGCTTGTGATTGGTTTGGCCTCTTTTACGTTCGTTTCGTCGATTTTTATGTGCATGCAATGTACGGAATGATACGGAATTGCCGGAATTGTGAGGCTACTTTTACATGCAACGTCAGCCAATCAAATCATCTCATCTAGAATATAGCGCAGTAGATAATATAATTTGATAATACAATTTGATTAGTTGACGCAAGAGTAAAGATTGAAAATACCCCGATCAATTCAAATTTTGATAAAAATAGATTTAATTGATGCGTTTTTGCACGAAATGAACGAATCTGGCGGAAAAAAGTGTCGCGCTGTCTCGTGAACCGAGATATTAAACGTTAAGTCTCGTCTATAGTAGTCCCACAGACTGTTTCGCATGTCGCAAGAAGTAGCGTTATAGGAAAATTTATCGCATGTCAAAAGAGTGTCGCTAAATAAGCATTTACACCTTAGAACATACATACATACTGGAAGGTTACATACCATGCCGTATATAACCAATATAATAAAAATGTCTTCAACATCCATCCTTGCTGCATGCTTGTTTGCTGTGCGCTTGTGCGTGATGATACCGCGTAATTCGAACTTAAAACAATGTAGAATAGTTATTAAAATGTTATTTGAAATTTGAAAACGATGGGAAAGAATGTTTTCAGCTATCAAATTGTCGTCGTTGTTAATTATAATTATACATTTAAAATACACATATATTTTATATATTTATATAATTTAAATTAATTTAATACATAATCTTAAAGCTTAGCTTAAAATTATCTATGAAGTAAGTCTTACTCATGAAGCAATATTTTATTTTGCTTCATTAATATTTTAAAACATATAACGCAATAAATCCTATTTTTTAATAATTTTATATGCTTTTATTTCGCGAGCTTTAAAATTTAAACGTATGTACATATATGGATATTCATAATCGACGCATGCGCATTACGTATCATTCAGACAAGGACAAATAGATGTTGGTATCATTGACAGTCACCTATGGTCTTTCCAGTATGTATGCTCTAAGATCTATACAGAGAGAAACCTGAGAGAAGACACGACGGCCTAAACCTATAACCGCAAATACTGCCTTCTGATAAAGTGGATGTAAACTACATTAGCAACGTCCATTTTTCTTAGGATGCAAACCCATGAAGCGGAATAGCGGAACGCGGAACGAGAGCAGAACCAATCACGAGTTAAGACATAAGAGCGGAAAGACGTCATTGCCGGGTGACGGGTACCGGCCGGGAACAGCACAATTCCACTATGGTTGACAGTTGATAGTCCGATTTCGTGTTCGCGCTTTCTACACCATGAAATAGTTGTTAACGCCAATTCACAAATTCACTACCACATTAAAAGTTCCGCAAATGGCCGTGTTCAAACAGAATTCGAAATCTGACCAATCATAAGATCGCGACCCTCATGACTTGACTCTTATTGAAGGGACTCGAATTTCTAAAGCCCGATGTCCACGATGTTAGAAATTTGTCCGAGATCTTGGACAGAGAAAAAATTCACAAATCACATTTGAATAATTTGATCACATGACCATTACGATTAGTTAATTCTTTCTTCATCCGAGGTCTCGGACCGATTTCTAGCATCATGGACATAATGCTTAACAGTGGGTGCTTTCCAATTGCTTAACATATGTTAACATAAACGTACACAGGAATACACAAAGTGTATCATTGTGAACGATTCAATTAAAACTGGATGTGTACGCTGTGCATGGTTGAGAAGATGAGGATAGTGAAGAAATTCAGCGTGTGGAACGAAAGTAACAAAATCGTTCGCAGTCACAGGGACATTAAGTAACAAAATGTTTATTACAAAATTTGATTTATTAAAACTTCAGAAAGAACTGGAGGAACAAGAAAGAGTCTTAGCGGAAAGGGCGAAGCAACAAGAGCATCAGAGAAGCCTGTTGGCGATGGAGCGTCAACAACTAGCAGAAATGAGAGCGGAATTACGTTTTTATTACGTTAGTGGGAAGTGAAGGTTATGAACTTCTCTGCAACTTATGCATACCGGAAAAGCTGGCAAATCTCACAATGGAACGTCTTGCGGAAATTATGCAAAATCACCTGCAACCAAGTGAAATATCGCAGCGTTATAAATTCAAAGAATGCAAGCAGATGGCGGGAGAGGACATTAAGACGTATCTAGTCAAACTCAAAAAATTATCACATTGCCACTTTGGGGAACAGTTGGAGAACCACATTCGGGACCAGTTCATATGGGGTCTGGCTAATAAGGGGATCAAGAGGTTGCTGGAAGAACAACAGTTGACGTATGCCAAGGCGATGGAGATTAGTACAAGCATGGAGATGGCAGGTGGAGCTGCAGACATGGTGAATGCGGCAAACAGCAAAAGCAGCGCACTCAATTTAATTGATAAGAAAAAGAAAGTGGTAACCTGTTATTGTTGCGGAAAAAAGGGTCACATATCGAAAGAGTTATGCATGTAACGCGTGCGGGAAAAAGGGTCATTTAGAGATTGTTTGTAAAACTAAAGTGTAAAGGGGAGAAAGGTAATAACCGGAAATAAAAACGAGCGGATGGAAAGACTAAAAATAAAGTCCGAATCATTATTTAGAAGAGTCCGAAAGCAATAATGAGAGCTTAAATAACTTGTTTTATAGCAACGATATAGATGATAGTAAAATGCTTGGTAATATAGAACCACTGAAAATAAGCCTGAAGGTAGGAAATATAGCACTGTTGTTCGAAACTTATACAGGATCGCCGATCTCTGCAATATCAAAGAGAGATTTCGATAAGTTTAAGCTGTTTGAGAATGCGGTAATGAAGAAAACATTTAGCCTATCAGCAGATAGAGTTAGATGAGGAATCAAAATCATTAGTCACGATAACAACTCATAAGAGTTTGTTTAGAAGTAATTATTTGAGTTTCGTAATAGCATCAGCGCCTGGTTTGTTCCAGCGCGAAATGGAAAAAATTTTACAGGACTTGGACAAGGTCACAATATTCTTCGATTTAGTTATTACAGGAGCTATGAAAGAAGAGCATGATCAAAATATAACGAGAGTGTTACAAAAAGTACAAGATTGTGGATTAACTTTAAGTAGAAATTAATGTGCATTTGCGCAAAACAGCATTGAATTTTTGGGATTTGAGTTAAGCGCCAGGGGCATTCAAGCTTCAAGCAGGAAAGTTAATGCAATCTTGAATATTAAAAAATCCAAGAACTTAACGGAATTCAAATCGGTTTTGGGTATGATTAATTATTACTTCAAATTTATTAAAAATTATGCAGACATGGTAGGGCCGCTGTATGAGCTTTTTAAAAAAAATAGGAAATGGGATTGGACAAAGGAGCAAGAGTTAGCTTTTAAAAAAGCTAAAGAGTTGAAAGAGACGAAGGAACATACTTATCTAAAAGTAATCGGTGAAGAGGTGCAAAATGTGGAGTAAAGCGGTTCGCAAGGAAACAAGTAAAGATGCAATTTTGAGGAGAGTTCGAGATTTTGTAATGCGGGGTTGGCCTGATAAAGTACACGATTGCCTGAAGCCATTCCATAGTCGTCGTTTAGAATTAACACTGGAAGAAGATTGCGTAATGTGGGGACCGCATTATTATATTCCACAATCTTTGAGAGCTAACTTACTAGAAGAGATCCACGAGGCTCATCTCGGGGTAGTTAAAATGAAGACGTCGGTCCTATTTTTGATGGCCTGGTTTATATAGGGACATCGAAGAGATAATAAAGACATGTAAAGAGTGCTTAGAGAACGCAAACGATTCCCCAAAGGCTTCGTTACATGTATGGAAGTTGCCTCAGGGTCCAAATCATCGTATACAGATTTTTGCGGACCGATTAGCGGTCATATCTCGTGATAATCGATGCGTACTCGAAATGGATTGATATTAACGAAATGTGCGATATTTCTTCGGAATCTACAATTAGAGCTTTAAAAGAGAATATAAGCATATGGGAGCTGCCACACCATTTTGTCTGATGGTCCGGCATTTCCGAACGAGTAGTTTTGAGAGTATTGCGAAATGCTATAAAACATATGAATACCTTATCATCCTGCGTCAAACGGGGCGACTGAGAACGCCGTGTGCACTTTTAAAAAAAAGATTAAAATATTACTTAAGGATAATGCAAGACAGGATGCCTTATGTAAATATTTATTCTATTATCGCTCGACACCGCATTGTACGATGGAAAAGACACCAGCCAAATTGCACTTAAACAGACGTTTGAGAACGCGATTGGATGTTATTAAGCCCGATATTAGAAGTAGGATTAAGCAGAAGCAAGGCAATCAACGTTTTTTTAAGGGCAATCGTGCAATTACTTTTGGAGACAACGACTCCGTGATGACTAAAGATTATAGGACAAAGTCGTGGAGACAGGCAATTGTTGAGCAAATTAGTCCGGTTACTTATAATGTTAGAACGGATGACGGACGTATCTGGAGACGTCGCACTGATCAA